GTGTAATTGTGTGCATTCCTGTTTTCAGCAAAAGCATCAACAACAAGTATGAAGAGTACGTGTTGACAAAAGGGGACTTCGATGAGCGTATTTTCCTTGAGTGATGATGCAGATGAGGAAATAGGAACTCCTGCTAAGTCTCCTGCAATGAAACAAGCCACCAGTCTGAGCGATAAGATGCAGGCAAAACGTAATATGCCTCAGTACATAGAGAAGGTGGGATACTGTACTTGTATATCTTGACATGCCTTGGATCGAGAGCTTCCACACATGGCCAACATTGTGGAATTTAAGGCATTATGTTATACTTGCTGCATTGGGTAATCACACCAATTTTTTTTAAGTACAAAAAATAACAACCTTCATAACTTCACCAGTATGCAGTTAAGTTATAAGTCACATTCTCTGTATGTTTGCCATCTGTTGCCATCATTGTTGGTGTCTAATAAGATACACTATACAGTAAAGCAGTTATGCACAGCCCATCACTACATGTTTTGGCAAATATAATGCTTACCTTGGATGTGTGACGTTATATAGTGGTATCAAGTAGGGCTAGGTTTAATACAAATTTTCTCTTACATGTCATCACACAGGTGAAAACCCTGTGTCCCCAGACCCCACTGACAGGTCGGCATTACCTTAAAGATAAGGATCCTAGCGTCACTCCAGTCTCAACAGCGACCCAAACAGTTAGTCGTTTGCAGGCCCTGTTGGGTGGTTGTAAAGCTGGCCCAAGTGAAGAGCTGCAGACTGTATTCAAAGAGTGCAACCAAGATGTAACCGAGTCCATTTTGAGTCGCATCAAAGTCATGGGGGAGACATTTTGCCAGCGATATACACAGGTGACTACACTCTAACTTCCTTACCTTCCGTATTTGTGTAACCTATTGCAGCTGCAAATTTGTACATGCTGTCATTGGATAGGTTGTGTTAAACAAGTGGCCAGAGATTGATACATGGCTGCTTGATTCAGAAGTACAGAATGCCAATGCACTGGTCCTGGCATTAATCAAAGTGCTGTGTGTCACATTAAGAGTAGGTGTATTCTGTGAGAGACACCTTTACTTGCCAATGCTCAGGGTTATGTATAAATCAACCGGAACATACTTCACGTGTATACTGGCTCTGGCTGCTATATTTCCATCACGCGTTCAGTTGCTTGTGCGCGGCACGGCAGGAACCAGAGCAGCTTCTTTTAATGCACTGAGCTTTGCGCATGTGTTTTCACCACTGCGACAGCGAATGTCAATGGGAACTGTTCGTGAAAGTTGGAAATTAAAAAAATTGACATTGCGGAGGCGAACAATTGGTAAGGTTTGTCTAAATTTGCAAAATAATCGCCAATTTTTCTCGCCAGGTCGATGGAATAATAGCCAAAATTATAATTATTCACCAATTGGCGAGAATGGCGAATGGCAGCTGGAACCCTGATTGCTTGTCTTTACAAAAAGTAAAATCTCAGATTCAGTTAACAATTTTTCATATTTTTCTGTCCTGCATGATATCTGATTTTGAAGGGTAGATTTGAATTTGGGATTTTTTAAATATTTGACATGGCATTTGACTTTGAAGGCCATGGCAATTTCAAGTTAAACCCAGCGCACCTTAAAAACCTTTTGTCTCATTTGAAACATTAATGTGCAGGATGATGGGACAGGACCACCACTGGACTTTGCCAAGAGACGACTGACACTGGCCATCAAGATGTACTACAAGGCATTGGAGAACATCATTATTAGTGAGAAGAAACGAGTAGAACAAAAAGGCAAGACAGATCTATCGGTAAGAAATCATCTGTTTTGGTTTTGAAATGTGGAACGTACTCTACCTAAACCCTCCAATCCTAGTGTTGTTATAATTACACAGAATCTTATTGGATCAAGTGTCACCAGGGGTATGCATTCATTAAATTCAGTTTTGTCAGAGTTTAGTGAATGAACCTCATTTATTTCATTGTCTTTCATCTTCGTCTAGTCATTACTTGAGCATGATGTCTTTCACCGGTCTCTCCTAGCCTGCTGTCTGGAAGTCATCATATTTGCCTATAACTCTCAGAAGTAAGTCATTGATAGTTGTTAGGCTAACCTGGCCACCATAGGTGGAGTGATTTCAACGGCGGAAAGCCAGGTGCTAAATTTATCCTAGAATGGCAAGTGCTAATGGAAGGGAAGTGCTAATCATTAAGGGGAGTGGTTGGCAGTTCCTTAGTCTACAAGCATTGCTTGTCAGCTTGTCAGTCAGTACTTCTTAAGAGAAAGCAAGACTGGAAATGAACACAAACATGGTGACAGTGCATGCTAGGTATTCTGGACTACTCAGTTCCCATTAAATTGTATACCCATCAAGATATGGGATGGAGGGGTACCCCCTTACCTGTCCAAACCCTATATACACTCTAGACTATTGTTACCTAACACATTCCCCTAGATATCTGAAAATTATTCCTGAGATTCTGATCAATCAGTGACCAACACAAAGTTGGAGTTGCTTTCCATCCCATATCTTGCTTCATATGTTAAATTGTAATGATTGTTTGACCACGCAGAGAGTAGCAAGACTATAGACAGCTAATATTACTCTGAATTCAGTAGGGTTTACACTTTGTTTTTAGATGCTGATTCAGATAAGTACTTAGGGAAGAACTGAAAAGCATTGGTGCTCATGAAATACCCTCACATGTTGAGATTAGGTAGAAGAAAATGGTAGACATCAGATCCTCAACCTTATAATTGTCCTTTCACCCTTTTAGGTCATTTCCATGGATAATTGATATCTTTGAGCTTCCAGCGTTCCATTTCTACAAAGTCATTGAGTTGTTGCTGAGAGCTGAGGATTGCTTGTCAAGAGACATTGTCAAGCATCTTAACCATGTGAGTAATACCTCTTCCTGTTGCATTGAAGAGCTGCTTTAGGGAGTGTTTTTGTAGCTAAGGAGGTCTTGGTATTAGCATTGCAGGAAAAGAATACATGGTTAGCACATAGACAATGTGTGCATATGGTCAGGTGTAATGACATTGCTAATTTATTTGATTATTGAAGGTGGAAGAGGAGATTCTTCAAGATCGTGCTTGGCGAAGTGATTCTCCTCTCTGGGATGCCCTGAGAGATTCCAAGGATGGCCCTCCATCTTGTGAGGATGTCTCTATTACAACTCAGAGTGACACAGTTGCAAGGGCTAATGGGAGTATACACCAGCCATACCGTTCACCTGTAATGCACCATCGTGTCCGTATGCTCATGGAGTCTGACCCTGCTGCCAAGAAAGGTCAGTCATTGTTCTGTTTGTTGTACCTCTGAGACCATGCAAGCATGTAGTGTTTTTGATGCTTTGGGGAGATGGGATTAGTTGATGGGGTACGGCTTCTGTGGTCTAGTCCATCAGTACTAGGATTGAACCCTAGTGTAAAATGCAAGATTTAGAATTTGTATTTATGCAGGTTTTTGTACTACACAGTACTTTTATTGTTACCATTTTCCTTTTGACGTTAGCCAGCGTCATCTGTTAGTTTTCATCAGTACGAAGTCATGCTTCTTGCATGAGCTGTTGACATCAGTTTTACTGCTTGAGCTCAACCTTGGTGGTCAAAAAAGATAACCTTTTGTTTGGAAACTTTTCACACTCAAAAAAGTGAAAATCGAAATGTTATAAGTAGATGGATGATACTTTTTTTGCTTTGAAGATGCCTTGCTGCAGTCTCCAACATCTGCTCGTGATCGTTTTAGCTCACCGTCTCCTGGAAGTGCCAAGCGTCGCCTTTTCGCTGTTGCTGTCCCAACTGAAGAGTCACCATCCACAGCGACATCATCCTCCACTCTTGATGGAAGCAAGGCAGCTATAAGAGCCAATGGGTCAGCAAGCCAGAAACCTATTGCTGAGACCACACTGGAGAGTGGAGTCACTGTTAGTGTCAAGTCTAAGTCTATCACCTTAACACAACCCAAAACAAAGGCAACAGCACAACCCCAGACAGTGACTGTGACGATACAAGGTATGACAAGCCATTTGGGCAGCCTTTTAGTGGAAAACAGTAAGAATTGGACCTTATTTAAACAGTAATTGTATTTTTGCAGAGGTAAATAACATTTTCCTTATCTTTGCATCCAGATTAAGCCACATTATCTCTCAATTAGCAGTCCAACATATGCACTTCAGTCCTATTTTTGCTTTTCTCGGCCTGAATTTTTATTTACTTTATGCCCAGGTATCAAAGACAAAGATGGGAACATCAAGCTTGTTTCCAGCCCCATCAAGGTTACTACCATGCCCGCTGCGCCACAACGTTCCCCAGCATCCACACAAAATACATCTCCTTCATTACAGCAGTCATCCCCCATAGCAGAGGCTAAAACATCACCAGTCAAAGTGGAGCCTGGTACCAAGACAACGCCTACTGGGCCACAGGCTGATGGAGAACAACCTGTTCTCACAGTCAACAAGCCCAAGAGAACTGGCTCAGTGGGACTGTTCTTTCGAAAGGTATACAAAATCTCTAATCCAACCCCCTCCAACATCCTTTTGCTGCAGATGGCTTGAAGGATATCATATGATTTATGGTAGAGGTAGCCATTTAATAATTCTATGCAAGGCTTAAATACGCCTTGAAAAACATAGTGTCCACACAGTGGTGGATTTTAAGGTGTGCAAAAGTCATGTCGTGGGAGTTAATGTTGTGTTGAGGTCTTCTCCCCTTCCTTACAGGAAATGCAAATTACATCAGACTTTTCTTTCAAACTATTCTTGTTATTGCTTAGAAATTTCTGTTAACGGATGGTGAAGACTTTACCACAGTAAATTTAAAGTTTTGGCACAACCTTTCAGAATGAGCAGCTCCCAATATGCTTTTTGAGTGATAACACAAGAACAGCTACATCGTGTCTTGAATACATTTACTGTAGAAACACCTCAGCTTAGTAAGGGGAACATTTTAGATGGACAGAAGACGAGTTTGTATTGTTTTGCAAAAGAAAAAACATAATGTGCCGTAACTTTTGTAGCTGCATGAACGACATTAAAACAGTAACTTTGTAACAATATACCTGTATGCCCATTTAATTACTCTTGATCTTGATCATTAGGTCTTCCATTTGGTCAACGTACGTCTCCTGGACCTGGCACACAAGCTGAATATCTCAGATGAACTTCGTCGTAAGACTTGGACCTGCATTGAGTACTCATTGACCAAGCATGTAAACCTTATGAAAGACCGACACTTAGATCAGATGATCATGTGTGCAATTTACCTCATGTGCAAGGTAAGTTACACCTGCTGCATCTATATTCCCTGTTTAGTGCCATTATGGACCGCTTGTTTTTTTATTTTTTTCACTACAATTCAATTGATGAATGTTTTTCTTCGACATTTTTTCATCATTGCCTCTAATGACCATTTGGTAACAATAGGTGACCAAAGAAGATAAAAAATTCCAGGATATTATGAAAGCCTATCGACGGCAGCCTCAGGCTCAGAGCAGTGTGTATCGCAGCGTATTGCTTCAGGATCGCCGTCAGAACTCAAGCAATGGGAGCAGTGGTAGTGGGTCTCACCAGGGCTCACCGGAAACTGACAAGCAAAAAGGTAGCGTTCAAAATTTGTCCAAGGATTGACTGTTCATCAGATGTCCATATTGTTGGAACAAATAAATAGCCACTCATTAATGTCAGAACTTTTATTCCCAAAACAGTCCAGTATTTATTCTTTTATAGGCAAATAAAAAGAAGTTTCCGAAAGAACACATTTCAATTCAAAAGAATTGATGTGAATATATTATAGGCCTGCAGTTTGAAGATGAATACAGTGGAACACTGTTATAACAAGGTCATTGGGACTTCAGAAATCGTTTTACTATATGTAATAGTTACATTGTATTATCAGTTCAAGGTAAGAGAAAAACAAGGACTGGGACCTAAACTTGACCTTGTGTTAGCAGTGCTCTTATCTGTGTTCGACTGTAGTAAACTACAAAGAATTCAAATGTTTATTCATTGGATTACTGTCCCTTAAGTTGAGTTTGCCTCTGTATATTGCAGTTTAGAAGGGTTCTTGAAACAATTTTTGATACATAGATGTCTAGTGAATATAAAATGCACTGTGAGCAGATTTAGTAGTGGGCAATTTTTCTATTTCGTCTTTTCAGTTGATTCAAATCCTCATACCCTAAGAATGCGTTCAGCCAGCACTCTGCCTGCGCCTTCTAGTAGTGCCCCACCCACTCCAACACGCATGGCTTGCACAAGTTCATCATTTGAAGATGAGGACAGAGGGGACTTAATCACCTTCTACAACTCAGTAAGTGAGATGACAAAAAAATTGTGCCAAGTTGTAAAAAATCATATTTAAATGCATCACTTTACATACAAACTTGCTAATGCGTGAATATGAATGGTCATTTCCTTAGTGTCACCTTGCAGTCAAAGATTGTTGGCAGAAAATTGTACTTCTGGCAATATCATGATATTGACCTTTGGTTTCTGTTGTGCTCAATTCAAATTTGGCTGCAAGATTTGCTTGGGTGCTTCTGAACGGCGTGCAATCATTGCTGTGACAATAGTAATCACAGTATGGTACATAATAAATTAATGGTCACATTTATAGGTTTACATAACCAGAATGCAGGCCTTTGCACTTCGGTTTGCCCCAAGTGAGGGTAGCCAGGAGAACCTGAGGGCTCCTTCATTGTCACCCATGCCGGTGATCAGAACACACCCTGCTTCGCCTCGTAGAGTGTCCAGTCGTCATGAGGTCTATATTAGTCCACACTCAAACTCCATCCCAACCAGCCCCAACAAAGGCATGCTGTATTATATCAACAAGAGTCCTGCAAAGGTAATATTGCTCTTAATCCTTGTATAAAGAGACAAAAGAAGACTAATTTGTGGACAGAATTTCGCCGTGCATTTTTAGCTGTACAAACTAAGCCATCCAGCAGATTTTTACTCAAAGAAATCTTTGTCATCACAACTCATTGACACTCTTCGATTATTTGAGTGTGTTTGACTTTTGTGTTGGACAAATGAAATTTATAAGCACACATGTATCATTCATACGTTGTGCACACTGGCTATGTTACCAGGCTGCAAAAAATGATGGATAATGGTGATCCTTCCCACAGTTGATGCGTTGTGTCTACTGTAATTGTGTAATCTTGGGTACAAGGGTGGATAGCCGCGATGGTACTAGAACAAGCCAATTATTGTAAGAGATGTGCTCTGTGTAGGAGACATTGAGGCACTGTGTCTGTTTGCACATGCTATTCTCTTCAATTTGACCATGACCGATCCCCCCCCCCGGGGTTATTAGACCTGTGTTCGTGCTCCAAGCTACATGTATAGGCTCGTAGAAGACGAGTATGCTCTGATCAATCTACCTGCAATCCAAACCACGATTGCTGTTTATATAAAACGTTCATGCCATTGTCTCTTTTCGTCTGCTCTTCAACTGTGTCAATAGTTTTCAACGGTATTTGGTGTAAATAATTTCTTAAAATTCAACCAGTCAACAAAACTCCGGTGCTTTATGAATCCCAAGTTTCTCTGTTAAGAATTTATTATAAATCCTGGATTTCCCCCCCAAAAAAGAGGAGGTAAACAAAGGACATCACAATCAATAAATTTCCTTGATATTTAATATCTAATTTACTGTTCGTGTGTTTCAATTTGTCAAAGTGTTTTAATTTATCTTGCATAAGATTGTTCCTCTGAAATCTAATACCATATTATAACAAACCAATTGTTTCCTGCAGTGACTGGGTCCATGGGTTTTCTACACCTTCAGGTGTACAAAACACCATGGGCCCCTACACCGCAATTGTTAAATGTTTCTCGATGACTCCTACAGTTACTTCTATACGTGTTGATCCATTGGCAGAACTTGAGAGACATCAACAATATGATCAAACTGGGAGGTGAACGTCAGACACCCAAGCGTGTCCTTCCCCTAGGTGAAGGTATGGAAAGCTCTCCAAAAAGAATGTGCTTGGAACCCAATCCACTAGTCCAGCGACTGAACAGCTTGAAATCAGACCGATGAGACAGATCTTGTAATTGCAGCATGTCGCACAGAAAATCCTTGGAGTGCGTGATGGTCTTTTTGTCTCAGAAAAATGAATTTTGAGTATTAGGTTCAAGTTCATTTGATATATCGACTGCATTTCTTGCAGTGTAATGATCAAGCTAAATATCTGTCATGTAATTTCTCACCGATTTCCTGGATTTCAAAAATTGTAATTTGAGTTTACAGTTGGTCATGAAGTGCTTATGCAGAATTCTTAGTATCATTACAACATACGCAGGCTTCATCATCAACAACTTTGTCAAGACTTTAATCCTAACCCTCCTCAATCCTCCAACAGGTGAAGGATTGAGGAGGGTTAGGGTTAATCAATCTTTCAGGAAAATCTGGATTGTACCCTTTCAGATGCCTTGTGTATTTTTAATACATATAACCTGTAATTATTCACATCACTAACAGAAAGCCATCTTTTTTGATCTTGAAACTAATGTAAAATGAAGAAAGTAAACCTGCTGGTTGCAATTGTGTCTACTGGTTTTTCCAATCGGCTTAATGCAACTTTGACAGAAGTGGTCATAAAAGCCAATCATTTAAAATCATGTGCATTTGAAATTTGCTCTGAATGTTCACTAACAATGAAAGAACATACATGCCTCATGTCTCAAAGTAGTGAACCCTCTTCCTACTCTGCTGATGCTAATGGTAGATTTAAACAAATTCCCAGTGACGTCATTATTAGCTTACTTTGTTGTGAGCACCCTGTGTAAGACCAGCCTTTAAATTCCAATCAAAAGAATACATGTACACATGTACACACGTAAACACACACAAACCTTTGGTGTAAATGAACCGATAAAGTGTCTTTTTGCTACGTTTTCGGCGTTTTGATGATTTTAAAAGCTTTGTGAACGAACCTTTCTTTTGATCATTTGCCAGTATGTATTTTACAGCATTTTACCATGTTTTAAAGTTTGCACTAAAAGAGTGTCTGCTTCAGTGGACATCTTAAGTTAATTTACGCATTAAGATTACAGTTTGAAGTTGAAATAAGCAAGAAAATGATTTTTAAAAGCTGCATCATTGTATCATAGGTTTTCTTGTTTGGTTCATTATTTTATGGCATGTTTAAATTTTTGAAGTTTTTCTTTCTGTACAACTGCTGCGGGCATTTTTTAACATTTTTCAACACTGGCCAGTATCATTTGTGAATGGTTTTGCATTCAGATCATTTCTTATTTAATGTGGGCTAAAATTATCTAAAACTACAAAAAGTAAAATGTGTTGGTTGGGTAGGTTTTTGTTGATGGTTTACCACTGGTATCCAGTTTCTGAACTACATGTACATCAGTGGAATGGTAATATCATACATGCACATGTAAAATGTATTTACAAAGCTGTTGGTGACTCTACTGTGCATGTGACCTTGCGCCAAAACTTGAGTAAATCTATAGAATGGTGGAGTTTGGCATGACCGTTTCCTACGACGAATAACTCATGTTGAGTCTTATTGTACATGTAGATTTCATATTGTCCCCAATGCTCCCATGGTTTAGTGGTAAATATGTCTGTTAATTGGTAAAAGTGGATGTATCTGGGGCCTTTATAAAACTTGACAACATGTACATGTACAGTTTTCTGTAATAGTTCAACCCTAACACTCCTCAGTCCTCCAACAGGTGAAGGATTGAAGAGTGTTAGGGTTAAAGCTTCAAGCAGATGAAGGCTTGGTTTGAAATTTAAGGCTTAAGACAACCTAAAACCCCGAAAGTTGGAGCCTGATGGCATAGCTGTGTTGCATTTCGTTGAGATTTTTGTAACAAACTAATAAAAGTTTCTATACAAATTTGTAGTAAAAGCTCTTTTTAAGTATCTAGGTATTTTTGTAGTGGGCTTTAGAGTGTGCGGATTTGGAGTTCTGTATTTTGTGATGGCTCTATTTAATTCTTTGATCATGGACTTGGAATTCCATTTTGCATTCCATGGAATGTAGACCTTTGTTATCAAGTCACAGTTGTATGTATTCCAGAAGTTTGAACTTGTAGCTGAAAGTTTAACTATCTTTGAGTAAAAAATTTTGCAGCCAAGATGGTTGCATTCATCAGATTCATCGCCTTCAGTTGTTTTCTTACAGGCTGGTTTTTATGTGATGGATTATATTTGTAAAATATTTCAGACCTCAAAAAACTACATGCAATCGGTGGTGACAATAATTAGTCCTTGTCCTACTACACAACCAAACTAATTCAACATGTACTTTTAAAGTAAAGAAAGAGCTATGCAACAGCAAATCGACAGGAAAGGTCAAATTCTATGAATTTGTTACGTGAATACACAGGCAACAGTAAATAAAGTACATGTATGCTCTGGAGCAAGTCGAATTTTCCAGGTGTATATCTCAAGACTTGTTGCCTTTGTCTAAGCTTCATGTGATACCAGGATTATTACTAAGGAGCTACAGTTGAACCCTAAAACTGGATCATTAAACATTATTACCTGGTAAGAGACGCGGTCAGGTTTCATATTATCTGGAGAAATATAGTACGTGATTTCAGTCGGTCTTTTTTGTCCACTGTGAAACTCGGGTAATAAGTTCCTGAGTAGGGAGTTTGAATACTTATGCAATGTACCCAGCATACAAATTCGTAAGTATAGTGATAAAATGTCTCTTCGTGTAGTACATTCAACTGGGTGTACATCAATCATGCATATACCACACATGCATCACATCCATTATCCTACCGCATACTTGAGCATTAAATGGACTAAAAATGTTATGGGACAAATAATGCATTGTTAAAAAATCTATATCTTGATGAAAGATTTAATGCAAAATATGAGTAATATTTATAAGTAATAAGGTAAATACTATCCATCAGAAATTGTCTTGTAATTCCAAAAGACCCTTAAAGCCTTCAAGATTGTCTTTAGTATTTTCACATTCGTTTTACCTCACTGTCCTTTACAATATGAAGATCTGTTGTGTGTCCATCAGCAAACAACACTAGAAAATGGCCCTTGAATTCTTCCAATCAAGCACCTAATCCAGACACGATATGATTTACTTTCTTCAAACCCCTCGGAGAAGGTGAACTCACTGACTTGTAAGATGTAAGCCTTGTAGTCTTGTCTGTCTTGATCCTGTACCCATATCTCATATGTAAACTCACTATCATTCATGTATTCAGTATTCCATGGTTGTTTCCATGACAAGTGTAGTCCTTGTTGTCTCTTACAACTTATGCTTCCAACTTTACTGGGAAAGAGAGAGGGGCCATGCACCTGCTCGGTTCTCAATTGTTGGCACTCTCGAAGACCCACTGACAGCAGCTCTAATATAGATGGGATATCAACTACTGTGTCTTGGTAAATCCTGAAAAGCCATTCAGGGTTAGAGCAGCAAATATGTCTGGCAACCTCGTGTGATGATAAAATCCGTATCTGCTCCTCAGAACTCAGATGTTGTATCCCACCGTATGCTGGTAGGGCATCCGGATGTGTAACAGTTCGGTCCAGGTCCCAATTCCTCCAGGACCTGTAAGTGATCCCCATATCAGGAAGTTGAACAAGAGTCTTATATGGGGTATAATGGTCTGGGTTAACCGCAAAGGGGAACAGCTCTAAAAGCATAGACCTTGCAGGAAGGAACAGAGAGAGAATTAACAGCGAACCATGCATTCCAACCAAGACCTTTGAGCAAGTCACCAATTCTATGAGCTCTTTGATGGAGAAGTCTTCCAGTCCTGCAGTCATGACGCGCATGCCAATACCCTGTGAAACAAAGAGAACTAAATCCATCTCGTTGAGAATCAGTCTTGTTGATTCTCTCCTTATCAACACAGCGTAATCTGACCCTTTACACTTCCTAGAACCCAACTGGTTATGAACAAAGGAAGTGAAAAGCCTTACTTCCCTGGCTGTCATGTTGGTGTTAGGAACTGGTCCCTGAGGACCCTGAAAGCCATACTGATACCAGGTTGTCATCTTTGATAACCCAACATAGGCTTCTTCAAAGCACACAAAGCTGTCTTGCTCAGCACTGGCCAAATTCTCCACGAGATCATCTCTCAGAATTGGATGGTATTGAAACAGGGAGAGGTATAAGTCCATGAATTCACCAGCTGGGTATTCATCTAGGAATACAAGTCTGCAAGTGGTTCGAAAGTCCCCCTTCGTCATTAGTCCATTCTGAAGCATAGTAAAAAACAGTGGTAGAAGGTCGTCATGGAAAACATGCATTATGTTATCGGGGTGGAAACGATTCATGATGAAATGTTTTCCACTAAAAACTTTCACTGAATTTATTTCACCCAACGCTGCTACTGGAAGATGACTGAACCCAAAGTACTGAGTATTGTGGTTTGGAACTGAAGATAAATCCACTAATGCAGGATCAAAGGGGTTCTCTGGAAGTCCGAAAGAAATTGACTGAGAACCACTTAAAAAAACAAACTCCTCACGTTTCTGGGAGAAGCACAGGTTGTGAAACCGGCATGTCCTGTCTGTGTTGTTGTAACCCGAGCACCAAACGGAAGATCCACCTTTCAAGATCGTTTTGTCAACAACCTGGGGTTTTCCTTTACCTTCTTCAAGTGGAGACAATTTCCGAGTTTCTTGTCGAGGCATCATTGTGGTTCTTAATTTCTCCTCTAAGCAACGAGAGAGCTTCTCTTGTAAAAAGTGGCATCTATACTGGCTCCAGGCTGCTATGGCCACGACTATGACAATCAGGTAGTCTGATAGAGCCATTTGAAAAACACAGGTAGAAAGAATCTTTCCTTATGGTCAGGAAAATGTGCCCTATACGTACAGGATTTCACAATCATCTGTGTTGGTACAACCCACTGACATGTCCTGAAATACATGTTGTAAGGGATCCAGTGGATAATCCTTTGACCAGGCCGGTGCTTAATACCTGCAAATCATGAAAATGTAAAACAAAAACAAAGGTTATTTCCCCTTTCAATAAATACCACAGGCATGGACCATATAAACCAAGATTTGTTACAAATGAGAAAGAAACTACAAACATGGACATAATTACTAGTTTCGACAAGGTATAAAATTTAAAGTCAATAACATGTAAGCTTGAACCCTTCCGGAGATAAGAGGTATGCACCTGTTATAGTAATTATCATAATTTAATAGGTGGAGAAACCTGGGGAAACATGGCATCGAATTTGATACAGATTCCTTAATCTGCACTTCCACAGCGCCACCGCTTCCTAAATATAGTCAATACTCAAGATGGGTGTGGAAAATTAGACATGCACATGAAAACGATAATCTCAAAAACAAATCAATCTACTAGTTTCCACAAGTTATTAAATTTAAAGTCAATATCACGTAAGCAAGTATCCTTCTGAAGAGAAGAGGAATGCACCTGTTCGTAATTATCGCAGTCTAATAGGCGGAGAAAGCTGGGGAAACATGACATGAAATTTGATGCAGATTCCTTAGTTACTCTGCAACTCTACGGTGCCATTGCTTCCTAATAATAGCTAACACT